TCAATACTGACCGAACTGTATTATCAGTCAATCAATCAGGTGCGTTCTCCAGAATGATGGTTAGCTGCAATGGAAGCCCGACACTCTCGGTCTCTTGTCAGTACACACTCTCAAAAAGCTGTTTATCTATCTCTTAATGTTGTCCTCCAACTTGTGTCGTTGTTTACCTCTTGCTCTTTTGCCTTCGACGTTTCACTTCTGTATAGTTTTTTTAAAAAGAAACAATTGATAAATGTCAGTCACCTGAACCTTAGGAGACTGAGCATTTAGAAAACTGTAGTAAAATCTTTTCTTTCTTAAAAATGCCAAAAAGCCGTGTCTACAAGTGTGAATAAGTTGACAAAATGTAACTGTCACAAAGCAGAGTGCTGAGAACACACATCGGATAGACAAGAGTTTTTGTTTCAATCGAGAGATTTCTGTTCTCCTAAACTCTGCTCGTTGTTGTTGCTGCCTTACCTATCCTGATGTTGATTTCTTGGTCCACCGATAGCTTGCTATTCACTGTGGATCCCTCTTAAGTAAAATGGTCAGTTGTCACTAGCTCTTCGTCGTTTGCAGCTCTAAAATTAACACATCGAACAATAACTGTTGTCTTCTTTTTGCTGATTGTTAGTCCAAATTCACAGCATGCACCAGCAATTGCAGACAGTAAACATTGCAGCTCCTTTTTTAAGTGAGTGGTAATTGCTGTCTCATCTGCATACAGCACATCTCTGATAAGTACCTTCCTGGTCATGGTTTTGGCTTTCAGCCCACAGAAGCTACCGCTTGATTGAGAATGGGGGAGTGTTCATCCTACTGATCTCGAAAGGCATATTTCAGAAGAAGTAAGAAGTCTATTCCCTAGAGGGTAGGAGCACGTACATACCACTGCTTCACTCTATTGTTGATTACAAACTTCTCCGATGTCATACGGTCTTCTTCTTCTTCTTCTTCTTCTTCTTCTTCTTCTTCTTCTTCTTCTTCTTCTTCTTCTTCTTCTTCGTCTTCTTCTTCTTCTTCTTCTTCTTCTTCTTCTTCTTCTTCTTCTTCTTCTTCTTCTTCTTCTTCTTCTTCTTCTTCTTCTTCTTCTTCTTCTTCTTCTTCTTCTTCTTCTTCTTCTTCTTCTTCTTCTTCTTCTTCTTTTTCTTCTTCTTTTCTTCTTCTTCTTCTTCATCTTCATCATCATCATCTTCTTCTTCTTTTTTTTCTTCTTCTTCTTCTTCTTCTTCTTCTTCTTCTTCTTCTTCTTCTTCTTCTTCTTCTTCTTCTTCTTCTTCTTCTTCTTCTTCTTCTTCTTCTTCTTCTTCTTCTTCTTCTTCTTCTTCTTCTTCTTCTTCTTCTTCTTCTTTTCTTCTTCTTCTTCTTCTTCTTCTTCATCTTCATCATCATCATCTTCTTCTTCTTCTTCTTCTTCTTCTTCTTCTTCTTCTTCTTCTTCTTCTTCTTCTTCTTCTTCTTCTTCTTCTTCTTCTTCTTCTTCTTCTTCTTCTTCTTCGTCTTCTTCTTCTTCTTCTTCTTCTTCTTCTTCTTCTTCTTCTTCTTCTTCTTCTTCTTCTTCTTCTTCTTCTTCTTCTTCTTCTTCTTCTTCTTCTTCTTCTTCTTCTTCTTCTTCTTCTTCTTCTTCTTCTTCTTCTTCTTCTCTTCTTCTTCTTCTTCTTCTTCTTCTTCTTCTTCTTCTTCTTCTTCTTCTTCTTCTTCTTCTTCTTCTTCTTCTTCTTCTTCTTTCTTCTTCTTCTTCTTCTTCTTCTTCTTCTTCTTCTTCTTCTTCTTCTTCTTCTTCTTCTTCTTCTTCTTCTTCTTCTTCTTCTTTTTCTTCTTCTTTTTCTTCTTTTTCTTCTTCTTCTTCTTCATCTTCATCATCATCATCTTCTTCTTCTTTTTCTTCTTCTTCTTCTTCTTCTTCTTCTTCTTCTTCTTCTTTTTCTTCTTCTTTTCTTCTTCTTCTTCTTCTTCTTCTTCTTCATCTTCATCATCATCATCTTCTTCTTCTTTTTCTTCTTCTTCTTCTTCTTCTTCTTCTTCTTCTTCTTCTTCTTCTTCTTCTTCTTCTTCTTCTTCTTCTTCTTCTTCTTCTTCTTCTTCTTCTTCTTTTCTTCTTCATCTTCTTCATCATCATCTTCTTCTTCTTCTTCTTCTTCTTCTTCTTCTTCTTCTTCTTCTTCTTCTTCTTCTTCTTCTTCTTCTTCTTCTTCTTCACGTTCACAGGCTGTAATGTCAGGCGGAAAGTTCTGGTTGTTCGTCCACCTCTGGATTCAGTCTTATTACAATACCTGAACGTTGTTTGCTCATCCGTTTTGAAGATTTGGCTTATTTTTAAGCAGACGGCTATTTCCTCGCCTGTCAAGTAGATGCACTCCGACTTCAAAGAAGCTCCCAATCAGCCGACTCTTACGACATGTTTTTTTTCCCCAGACCTATTCTTGTTTTCCCTACAACGGGGCCCCGGAACTCACACGGGAAAATGTTTGCTTAAGAGCACACATACACACACAAAGTAAATAGTAAAAGGCAAACAATTAGTATAACATATTTGCATTAATATAACATGTATAAACTCATACTTTAAAGAGCCCTTAAGGGACCCGCGAAGAAACTGGGGCCTAGGTCCCCCCTTAGAGCACCCTCACCCCGCCTTTTCAAGGTTCCGGCGCCCTTACCTTCTACATTTATCCACATATTTTAGCCTTTAGTAGCAAAGTGGCAACTAGTGTTGCCACTTTAAATGTTTTATATCCAGATCTAGACGTTGTTCCTTGCATCTAGATGGGGTTTTTGACGTCTAGATAGTAGATGTATTTCTAGATGGTTTTTCATTTAGAGTTAGATATTTTATAGATTTTTCTTCTTTCAGTGTCAGTTTAAAAAATTACTGTATTAAATTTGTATCACACATTTTTTGTTTTGGTCTGGACATGTATATTAAAGTAACTGAGATTGCTTAAAATTTGTGTTCACAAGGGGACCCACGGGACACAAAGGGACCCACGTGGACACAAGAGGACCCACGTGGACACAAGGGGAGCCACGTGTACCCAAGCAATACAATAACTACAGCAATACAATAACTTAATTAAAGCATTAAATGATGGTTTCGGACCACTGGAAATTCTGTCAAATTGCAAAACTAGATGGTTATCAATTCATACGTGAACACAACGGGACCTTCGTGGAAACAAGGGGACCCAAGTGGACACAAGTAAGCCCACGTGGATACAAGTAAGCCCACATGGATCCACGTGGACACAAGGGATCCACGTGGACACAAGGGAACCCACATGGACACAATGGGACCCACGTGGACCCAAGGGGACCTACAGCAATACAAAAACTTATATAAAACATTAAATGATGGTTTTCGCACCACTGAAAATTCTGTCAAATTGCAGAACTAGGTGGTTATCAATTTAACCAGCTGTTGAAAGAATTGTGAACCAATGGTTGGAGTTAAATACACACTTCGAAATAACAAGACAAAGTAAAAAGTGCTACACGGTTGAAATTCTATATCTAATCTACAGTAATGAAAAAATAATTGAAGTGCAAAAGGTTAATAAACTGTTCGAATCTAAACATGTTGTTAAAGTTAAATTACTTGACGATGTCACTTTACTATTTCACTAAGTTGGTAAAAGACTGGTGTTGCCAACATCTAAAGCTGATTTGCTCACTTGCACTATAGGGAGTTATTTGGCTCATAAGCCATACATTGGATATCACATCGTAATACAAAATTGATGATTTAAAAACAAAAGAGCTGTTAACAGAAAATGAAAATGAAGAGAACAACTTTAGAAAGCGCTGTCATGATTTCCTTATTTCATTATTCAAGCAACTGAAGCAGAGACTTTCTGAAAATTTAGATGTATTGAAAAACATTTGACTCTTTTCTGTGAGCAACATAAGCCAGTAAAGGACATACCTAAATATTGTAAAGTTATGAAATTTGTAGGGTCTATTGATAATAGTGTAGCGGAAGCAGTATATCAATTAACCCCCCCCCCCCCCTCTCCCAAAATAAAACTTGGTTGACTGGACAAACAAAACAGAAAGTGAAGCATTTTGGAGTGAAGTTAAACAATTTAAAGATGCCACAGGAATCAGTCCATTCTGTAAGTTTGTTTTTTTAATGTGCCATGTCTGTCATGATACTATCCCATTCAAATGCTGACGTAGAAAGAGTTTTTCAGTGCTATGAATTATATCAAATCTAACCTGAGAAATAAGATGAAGCTTGACCTCTTAAATGCTATCTTGACAATACAATTTGGCCTGATGAGAGTAGGAAAATGCTGTTCAACTTATCAGCTCCCTGATTGTGTATTAAAAGAAATTGGAACAGCTAAAGCTTACAAGAGTCATTTTGGATCTGAAACTTTAACTTCATCATCCAAGGTAAGTTTATCCTGTGGATCTTGTGAGACAGACGGGGCACAAACAGGCCCGATTGTGTTTCACCTGGCCCCATGGATTTATGGCATTTTAGACAGTAATTGTCCTGTGGGCGTACACACGGTGGCATACAACCGGACTGGTGAAGCGCTGCCACGCCAACACAGGATGCCGTTAAAAATTTAATTAGGTATTTTCCCCGGATAGGTGGGACTCGATAGCTGGGGACAGCGGCCCACCTATGAGAAGGATACTCTGAAACTAAACTACCACTGCCCGGTGGTCAGGCCTTGGTTGGTTACGGGCTAAGGAAGCACATCCTAAAAGAAAAGCACGTTGAAGACGGAGACGCCAGGTCGAAAGGCACAGATAGTGTGGGAGAATATTTTCCCACAAACATGACGTCACGCATACCTTCTTGAATGTCAGAAAGATGAGGACATGATTCTATAGGGTAAGTCACATCAATAGCTATGTAATTCGTGACTCTTTCCATTTGGATGTTTTTTCTACATGTTTTCCACGTAAATTTAGATGTTCTTAGATATTTTCTGACTCTGTTCTGGATTATTTTTGTTAAAGAAAAGTGGCAAAGTGGCAACACCGCCGGTCAGTTGCAATCCAAGATGGCTTCTCATGAGGCAGGCGCACAACAGATTGATGTCACAACATTGCCAATTCCTCATTTAAATCATTTATCGCAACAGTTGGAACAGGTTAATGAATTTAGTGTTCAGATATGCGATAGAATTAGCATGTACAAATAATTGTGATACAGCAAAGCTTCCTTAAGGTTATTTACTGTGAGCTGACGTGTTTCCGATAATAAGCTATTTTCGGCAATCCTCTTCTTTTTCTCTCTTTCAGCGGGCGACCCTATTGTAATTTAACATGACTGTGAGTTGTAAGTGCCGACCCTAGTGACATAATCCATAGTTTGTGTCAGTTTACATAATACTAATATTCCGGCTCTACTTTGAACTTCCCCATTAAATGGCAGCCGTAATAACGGTAATATGATGGCACATTCTGGCCATAAAATATCCAAAAATATCCGAACGGTGTTCACGTATATTTAAAATACGGACTTTCTGCCACGGAACAAATCGCGGCAAAACTAGGATTACTTGACAATCAATATAAACATTGCACACGGTAGTAGCAGACGATAAATACAATAGTTTTAAATACCGACCGTTGACAATTTTGAGCTTTTCTGCAGACGATATTAGCGACCGTTGACCAATTTCGAGACATTACAGACGATGAAAGCGATTAGCAATACTGTGTTCTTCCGATTAGAGGATTTAGCAGCGGTAGATGTCAGACTTGTCGGCATGCGCAAAACGCAATTAAACTCATCGCCGAGCGTATCCCCCTCACCGCTACGTGCGGGGCGGATGGCGGGCTAAACTAGGTGCCTGGGACTCACGAGTAAAGTAATTGGACGAGGTTGCAGGAGATGCGGTAGCTGCCGCTTGTGAGTCCCAGCCATCTAGTTGTCCCCATCCGCGCCGCGTGTAGCGGCGCAGGGTATACTTGCAGAAGCAGGTCCGCAAGTAACGTATCGCCGAGACCCTGTTAGAGCATTTGTTTTGTTATGCAGTGCCGGCACATATATTTTTAATAGAACTGAGCCCCTTTTGGATATTTTATGGCCAGAAATTGGCCAATTTAGCTCTTTTGAACAGCATCATATTACGGCCGCCATTTTATGGGGGAAGTTCAAAGTAGAGCTAATATTCCTATTATTATTTCATAATTAAAATTGTTTTATATTGAGTATGGTTAGCCCGGTTGGTTAGAATTAAAATCAAGGCTAACTCCTAATCCAAAAAGTAACCTAACTGGACTAGCCCTAAACCAAAAACCCTTCCTAACCCCTAACAATATGAAATATGTAAGAATATTATCATTACATGAACGTAATGGATTGTCTCCCTTGCGGTCACCCTACACAACCGTTGATCCCCCCCCCCCACCAAGGTCACCGGTGACCAAGAAAAGTCAATGCACTTATTATTATTAATATAAATTGCCTGCTCTGGACGTTTCATACATTTCTGTTTAGTTGGTAAGATGTATTTGATTTCTGCATTGAATCTATCTGACTAACAGTTGGATAAATTATGATATTTGGCTATCTTTGGGAATATATAGTACTGATTTTTTGCTATGATAATTTGGGGCCGTTATTCGGAAGATATACTGATTTTTGGCTATCTTAACAGAGTCTACGTCTTTGTGTGCACATGTGACATTGTAGGCATTCCAATGTGTACTCAGTCCTCTGATACAGCAGCAACTACAAGGTACCTCTGCTGTTTGTTTCTGTGAGAAGTTGCTTATAGTTTCTCCTATCTTTACTATGAAAATGCCATAGGTGCACTTCACCAAGCCTAACTCCGCAGTTATGTTAACATCAGAGATTCAACATTATCCCCCAACCTAGTCTGCACAGCGTTGAATAATGATGATATCAGCCCTGTTAATTATTCTTTCTTTCTGTTTGGTGCATGTCTTGCCAGCTGGCGGTTACATTTAAATGATGATATTTATCATCATCCTCAACAGATGTTTGCTACACAGCATCAACCCTTGTGTGTGGGTTTCTGGAGGACAAATAGACCCGCTGCCCTCGACAAGAATGTCATATAAAAGTTGACTAATTTGGGATGTTTTCTTTGAAGTCAGAGTGCATGAGCCTGAAAGGCAAGGAACCAACAGTCTCCTCACAGATAAAGCAGATCAGTAAAACAGATGTGCACTTATCACTCAGGTTCTAGAACAAGACAAAGGTCCAAAAATGGAAGAACAGTCAGAACTTTCCGCTATAGTTTACAGATGGTGAACATGAAGAAGAAGATGTGATCATTGTGGTTTTAATAATTTGTTTTCAGAGCATTTTAATGTTTCTGTTGTATCAGTTTAAAACAATTGTGAATGTTTTTGCTCTGTGTTGACAGGAATTAGAATTTCTCAGCAACTCTGTCAACCAGCTGAAGGTTGCTCAAGGCAAGTTCACAGAATCAGAGGAAGCTGTCTCAAACCTGGGGGATGTAGGATCTCCTATCTTGGTCCCACTAACTGCTTCTGTATCCTTGCTGTTACCTTAATCACCATTGTGCTTTTGACATCTGTTGTATGATGTTACATTCACTGTTAAGCAGTATACCTGTGGTCATATATGATTTTCTTTTATTTTCTCAATTCATTCTGTTCCAGCCCAGTATATATAGCCTTTTATGACTGAGAAGCTAAAAATACAGAAATGAGGTTAAAGTCATGAGCAGGCTATAACGATTCTTTGGATGATCCCAGTACTTAAGCACCCTGTTTTGGTTCTGCATTTATGGAAGCTTCCTTGGATGGCTGCCAATTCCTGCCCCTTGCCTTCTCTTGAGAGCTAACCAGCATTAAGTGGCTGCTGTCGACTGGCCAAATGGGCGGCACCACGTTTAGACTGGGACACAAAAAGATAATGCATCAGTGAGACTTAAATGTGAATGAAACTAAACAGGTTGTCTAACCCGGGCAGTAAATGCATGTAGAAGCCAGATGTGTCAGCCACAAGGCGCAAATATTGCAGCCATGTTGTAAACGATCACAACGCATCTATGTCCTTGGATGAACGATGAAACAGAAGAAGAATGTAAATATATTACATTGTTTTATTCTGGCCGAGCAGTCAAGAGTGCTTGGCTCTCACCGTGAGACCTAGGTTCAAATCCTTTAGGATTTAGGTCAGAGAAGGGGTGGTTGGGTATTATATAACTAAGTCCTCTAACACGTGCCATGGATCTCATTCCTGAAGACGTGGGGATGCCTGGGATGTACTGACAACAGTTTGGCTATTACAGCATTCATGATCAGATATCAGTTGAGATAAATGGACAACTTGGACTATTCTGGTTTTTTAAGTCTATTATAAGTAAGGTGGGTACTCATCCCAGGAAACGTAGCAGGCCAAAACCGGGTGAAAGTGAGGGGAAAAAACTAAATTATCTCTGAAGGTAAAAACCATATTGAAAAAAATATAAAAGGAAGAAATTGTAAGATGTAAATAATGTGTAACAGCTATCAAATGACAACACATGGAATGCGCAACACAATTACACCACAGTAGAAAGTATTGATTGTGCTGTATAGAGATAACACATTGAATGGCCAGCTCAATTATAAATTCATAGTGTATATTTTACTACAGGATAAATCAAATGTATGGCTGCATGTTTAAGTACACATATTTACTGATGTGCGGCGCCCGTGGCTTAGGCGTTGCGAGTTAGACTTGTAATCCAACGTACCTGCTGGCTGCGTGGCTTTTTATCATGGTATGGGGTGTCGCTGGTCGACCCAGCCTAAAATGGGTACCAGGATGGCTGTCCTGTGGAAGTAAAGGCGGCCGGCCTAATGCTGACCACATTACCCATCCAGTGCCGATTGGTCTGTAAAAATATGGGACGCTCTTCCCATATACCCGATGCGCCTAAAGGCGTGAAAAGGGATCTTTACTTTTTTTTACTTATTTACTGATATGACCTGGCTACGGAAATGACACCACTGGAAAAGCAGTTCTTCAAATAAACACATTACACAACAGTACAGTCACTAAGTTGCCTCAGGCTGATTGCTGTCCACATCACAAGTTCACATCACAGCATTGCCTTCTGTACAAGTTCACATCACAGCATTGCCTTCTGTACAAGTTCACATCACAGCATTGCCTTCTGTACAAGTTCACATCACAGCATTGCCTTCTGTACAAGTTCACAGCATTGCCTTCTGTACAAGTTCACATCACAGCATTGCCTTCTGTACAAGTTCACATCACAGCATTGCCTTCTGTACAAGTTCACATCACAGCATTGCCTTCTGTACAAGTTCATAAGACATTCCTTCTGCCAGTTGTTGAGTAATGAACAGTTGACCAATGTGATAAATGGAAATGCCTGTTAGTTCTTGGAAGTACTACAGTAACAGACCTGAGACCCGATGGTCGCTGGCCAATGATTATTTGCCTCCTTAACCCCCACCCTCAGATGTATGTTCCTGGACAGCTCAGTGAGGTCAATGACCTTCTTATAGATATCGGAACTGGTTATTACGTTTCAATGGTTAGTGTGCATTACTGGATGTCTGTAATCATTTGTGTGTCATTATTATTGTCTTTCTTGCCAACTGGCCCTAGTGGTCAGGTTTCTCCACAGCTTGCTTTCTCCCTTCCCCTCCTTCTTATCTTACCAGCTGAGAAACATCGCATGCCAGCAGATATGTTGTTTCTAATGAAAACTCTAAGAAGGTCAAGGAAAAAATAATAACTTATAAGACAGCCTTCCAATAAACAGAGAAATTAGACATAGACAGCCCCAAAAAATCTTTTGCTTGCATGTTATGATGAGCAGTAAAATTGAAAATGTGGTGACATGTAGTAAGCATGAGAAGTAAAAGGGGAAAGCGATAAATAACTAGGTGGTTTGATCACATGTCATCATACATGACCGAACATATGTGGTCCTTTGGGAACAAGCAACGGAGTTAGAAGTGAAACAAGATTATTATAGCCTGGAGAGAATGATGCACCTGGGTTTAACCAGGGGGTCTGGCCGGCTCACTACACTCATGGAAAAGGCAAAACGGACATAACCAGATTACGACCGGCACCATTAGTATTAGAACTCTGCACTGGCTGCTCAAGATGAGGACGGAGCACACATGGGAATGCCCTGAGTGCTGTGATGTCTATTCTTGACTCAACTCAACTCATCTTATGGTGTCAGATGGACAAGAAAGACTTCATCTGAGATTGTGGTGACTGTCTGAAATAACAAGGCCAGGTGATCTGCGCCTCTTTACAGGAAAGAGGAAGATGATTTGTTGGTGTAATACTATATGCTCAAATTTATCTTCTGTAATGAATAAGGTATAACATTGATAAAACATGGATGCAGTTGCCAACATTGGCCTTTATTTCTGTAATACGCCCTTCATCTAACATCCATGTCTCTAAATAGTTAAATGTTGTTTCTTGTCTCAGATGAATGGTGTTGACTTTAATTTTACATGTAGGCAGGTTGATGGCTTTACACCCTCGCTATCCCTCTCTCCAGAAAGCACACAAGGATGTTTGGTGTTTTGTGATAACCTCATGTGTATGATCTCGTGTGTACCAGCAAGACTAGTTTAACGCCTGGTCCCAAATGATAAGGGTTCTCGAAATATAGAAGAGATGGTTAATATCACACAGACCACCTTTACTTCTTACCTAGAACATGTCCACGTATCCAGAATAGGCTGTCATAGAGGGTCAGTGGCTATAATGTCTATCACAGTAAAGTACAATACTACAACTGTCACACACACTGTAAAAACTTGATGGGCTTCATTTTTCAACCCACAACAGAACCCTCTCAATGTACACTGACCACAGTACAGAATATTGAACAGTATGTGATAGTGATAGTCTTGTAGTTAACTATAGCTCACAGATTTCTGTTGGTTTTCCCCACCAACATTTAGAAGTATAATGTATTGTCATGTCTGTGTTTATTGCCAGAACAAGCATGTCCATAAAACACACATTCTTTATGAAGGCAACTGTGTACATGAGTCATTTGAGAGGCTGTTAAGTCAAGCACATTTGAAACATATGATTTGAAAGCTTATCTAGCACATTTAGTTTGAGGTTTATTTGTGAGTCAGTTTTCATGTTTCGTGTAGTGATATTGAAATATTTGTTTATGACATGATTCATATATCTATGCGGAGGTATTAAAATGTTTGTTTATTTTGAATGTAGAACAAAGAAAAGGCCCAGGACTTCTTCAAGAGAAAGACTGAATACCTGACTAAAAACATAGAGAAGGTCCAGCCAATCCTGCAGGAGAAGTACAGGTCCAAGCAAGGTAAGCTCTCAGTGCTGAGATCATTGATATTTATGACCTATATTTAGGCACACGAATCATGATGATAGAGCTCAGATCAATGACATTTATGACATGTGTTTAACTCTTTCAGGACCACATTTTTTTCTGGGGCTTGGACAGCATTAATTTTGAGCATAATTTTTTGTACTGCAACACAACAAAGCTAAAACCTTTCTGAAGAAAAAGTATTGGCTGTATAATGACATATAATATATCAAGTTCAAGACAAATGAATACAGAATACTTCTAAACTATTTAAGTGTCCATATTAAAACAAAATATTGAAATGACACACATTCAAGGGTGTTAGACACACATGAAGTTTTATACATACCTTACTTTTGTTTTTTGTTTTTTTCTAAACTTGATTAGCAAACTAACTTCCATTTCCATATCTTCTCTATTCAATGATGCATCAGTTAATCTTTATTTGAAACAATTAATCTAAATACTTCGGATTTTGTGACAGTTTTTGTATGTCATGTCAGATTTCACTACACCTGAATTCCGGACACAGCTGATCGAGACATGCACGATCAGCCTTATCCTAACCTACATTATCGACAATAGGTTTGGCACCTGCATTATTAATCATAATATGAAGACTGTTGTCACAGTCATCAACAGCAACAGCAGCAGTGTGGACAGTTCTAGACCTATCACACTGAATTAATTAAAAACAAATTGAAAATTATACCTATCGCCTCACCATTCACTAATTCTAGTTTTTCAAAACGTGTCAAAATGATTTTTCTATCAAACAAAAAAAATAGTTTAAGTAGCTAGGCACACACGTCATGACAATAGAGCTCAGATCATTGACGTTTATGACATGTGTTTTACACCTAAGCGCACAAAGTCATGACGATAGAGCTGAGATCATTGACATTTATGACATGTGTTTAAGCACCTAGGCACACACATCATGACGATAGAGCTGAGATCATTGACGTTTATGACATTTGTTTCTCTGTTGTGTCTGTATATTGGTGACAGCTGGAGAGGGCAAGTTATTTTTAAATTGGCATACACAGCACAAAGGGTGAGGAAAACAATAAAAGATAATGGTGGCACCTACCAGACAACAACAGCAAGTATGACTGGAGACAACCCCCACCTCTAGCGCAATTGCATATGCAGCAGCACTCACATCGATCGTGTCAGGCTCCATGAACATAGTTCAGAAAATCCCATGAGGCAGCCCTCACTCTGAATGGGTAGACAACATTGGAGATACACATAAAGGGGAACTTACTAACCTTAGCATGGAAAGAGAAAGAGAAGATGCAACCTAAAAACTCAATGCTGTGGCTGGTGGGCCCTTGGCTGGCAGCCGGTCTAAGAGGCAAGCTCTGACAGGTAACTGAGCATTGCTTCTGATCTGGCAGCTTCTGCAGCAACCTTTCTTCCAAATGTATTGGTGTTGCCTTTCCTTTGGAGTGAACAAGGCAGGTCGAGCAAAGGATCATGATGCATGGGCAACACATGGTCTCTGCAGTACGGCCTAGGCTTTTTACTAGAGAATCCCTTGCTGTAGACTTGTCAGCTTGAGCAGGTCTTGCTAGCCACACTCACATTTTCAGGGGCTATGATTCCCACACCTTCCGGTATCACAGTGTAATACTCTCTGGAAAGTTGCCAGCAAGAACAACAGATTATATTTCACATTAGAATGATGTCTTATCGAATATTCACAATGATGTGCTTTTCATTGAAGTCCTGTTGTTTTTTTCTCTCTCTTTCTCTCGCAGTTATCACCGAGGTCATGCAGGCCAAAATTCAAGCTCAGCTGGCAGTAAGTTCTGCTGCTGCTGCGCCAGCAGGACCAAAGTCGTGATCTGCAGAATATTTCTACAGATTTGAGTCTTTAGAATGACATTTCACTAGATCTTTTATATCTGTGTAGATACAGACTCTTCGAAAGCAAGTTAAGAGCATCTGTAGTACCCGTCTTCTTCTTCTTCTTGTTCACTGGCTGTGAATTCCGACAGAAAGTCCTGGTTGTTCACCCACTTGGACTTTTGGCTTTTACCTGGACCTGAGTTTTGTGTGTACATCCATTTTACTGGCCTATTTGTGTGCAGTTTTCGTATGGCAACATTTGTAGGTGAATTTTCTCTTAAGGCATATCTTTGTCGGTACCAGGACATGGTACATTTATTGATTACTCTCCACATGTTATACATTTCATCATCTTTTCTGTCCTGTTATCACTTTATTCCATCTCACAAGTGATACTTCTAACCATTCTGACCTGTGGATGTAATATTTCAACTCTGAAGACCCCGTAGAAGATTTTTAGTCTAAAGTAGACAGACATTATAGCAAAGAAAGCTGTCTGAAATGGAAAGAGTTCAGAACACATGAGTTACAATAGTGGTTTCCTCTGTAGGTTGAAGTTTACAAGTAAACTTTAACTAAAACAGCTGCAATAAATTTAATGGTATAATCTGTAGATAGTAGTCACTTCTCAAACAAGTTAGTAAAGAAGAGCTGCAATCCAACTTTGGCAAAATGCCTTCTGAATGTGTGTTTATACTTCATTTTGAATACATATAATATGTGAATTTGTGTGTGTGCTGTGTGTTTTTATTTTAATAAACTTGTGTACATTCTCAGAATTGCAAAAACCAGTTTTATTTTTGTGTGATTAATTGATATGTGTGGTGTTGTCCAGCTTTTCTATTTACTTTGTCAAGTTGAGCAGAATGATAGATCTTCTATGAGATATCTTGATCTGCTGACCTGAATGAGCTCATATCTCTACTTATCCGGAAACGTTTATGCTGTGACCTTCTTGACCTCGAATGTGATGTTTCCACTGTTTACATTCTTCCAGTCAGGGTGCCAGCTCTACTGTGTGTCATCCAAGTGGTAACTTGTTGGATCCTGTTCATGTGTGATTTGTGTGTGACTTTTGCTTTTAGTCTGACTGACTGACTTTCTACCCCACTAGGACATTACACAAGCGATAAACATGCCATGACACAAAGTGCCACCATGTGGATGGGGATCACCGTGGAGAGGTCCCAGAAACCGCATTCAGACAATTGGCCTATATTGTGGCCCCTGGCAAAAGCCAGGGTGGGGCTTCAAATAACAACAAATTTCATCCTAAAAAAGACTGAAGGTTAATTACCTGTGCCAGTTAAGTCTTACCAGCTGATTGAAAGTAAATCTCTTTGGGAGCTTTGTTGGTGTAGAAGTTGGTGCATCTATTTTCCCATCAGTGATTTATTGTTCCCCTCACAGTGTAGAAGTTAGTGCTTTTGTTTCCCAGTCAGTGATTTAACATTTTCCTTACAGTGTAGAAATGAATAAATCTGTTTCCCAGTCAGTGAGTTATTGTTCCCTTCACAGTGTAGAAGTTAATAAATCATCTGTTTCCCAGTCAGTCAGTTATTGTTCCCCAGTCAGTGAGTTATTGTTCCCCTTACAGTGTAGAAGTTAATAAATGTTTCCCAGTCAGTGATTTATTGTTCCTCTTACAGTGTAGAAGTTAATATAAACCTGTTTCCCAGTCAGCAATTTATTGCTCTCCTTATAATGTAGAAGGTAATGCATCTGGTTCCCAGTCCATGATTTATTGTTCCCCTTTACAGGCAAGTGTAGAAATGTGTTTGTGATGTTGGTTCATGAGTTGACAGGTGCACATTATTCTAGTATCAGTTCAGTGGTATCATTAGTTTTGTGGTACCTCTTCAGTACAGGATGTTGGACAGTTTCTACACACTTAAAGTGGTACACTTACATGCCTTTGTATCTCAGCATCATCTACACCAGATGGTTATGGGAAGGACCCTTTTCACTCTTAGTGGTGTTAGACCCATATGTTTCCAGACCAGTCAATGCTTGATGGCTGATGTGCTCAGTATCATACTAGATTTGTGTCAGGGAAAAGCTAGAGAATCCAAACACTAGGCACTAGGTCTTGTTGAGTCAAATTGTTATAAGCTTGTCTATCTTCCATTATTCTTCTTACATTGAAGCTAAGCCTCCTCTCCCGACCCCCTTCTTTTCCAACCACCTCAGGCAAAGCCCTTTAAACTTGTCATTATTGGTCCAATTTTTCTGCTTGTCTTATATCAAAGGGAGCCAGCCTCATGACAACCCGTCTTAGATGTCTCTTATGACATGCATTCCGTGTGGTGGGGGGGAACCAGACTTCTCCCTCCCGTGTGTAGTAAGAGTAGACTAATTAGGTGTGTTTTATTAGAAGTTGGAGTGCATTTACCTAAGAGGCAAGGAACCACCAGTCTGCATACAAATAAGAAAGATCTGTGAAACAGATGTGCATGCAGAACTCAAGTTCTGGAACAAGACCAAAATCCAGAAGTGGAGGAACAACCAGTACTTTCTACCTGAGTTTTCAGCTGGTAAACACAAAAAAGAAGAAGATGATATATACAATATTTGCAGTGTACAATGTTAGTGTTCTGTGCTACCCTAATGGGACACTAATACAGGAGGAGTTAGTCCTCTAATAATCTAGTTTCGTCCTTTTTAGGATGAAATTTTTGGTTATTTGAAGCCCCACCCTGGCTTTTGCCAGGGGCCCCAGTATAGGCAGGCCATAAATATGGCCAATTGTCTGAACGCGGTTTCTAAGACCTCTCCACGGCGATCTTCATCCACATGGTGGCACTTTGTGTCATCGGGTGTTTATAGCTTGTGTGATGTCCTAGTGGGGTTGAAAGTCAGTCAGTCAGGAGTTAGTTCCCTGTACATATGGTTTTTTATTTATCCTTTCCAGTTGTTTCCTTGTAACTTGAATGATAACTTCAGCATCATCAGGTGCCTTGCCGACTGGCATGGGCGATCATGCCTCTCCACAATCCGCCATCTCCTGCAGCATGTATCAGTTTGTGTGCTGACTGTCAAGAATCTTCTATCGTTGTCTTCCACTATCCTTCCTTCCACAGATCTCTTCAGTGGTCACAACATGTTCTATTTTCCCTCTTCTCATAGCATGGCCGATAATTGATGACTCTCTCCTTCTGATGTCTGTGATTAAGTTGTATTTGGGCTCCGTTCTCTTTCTATACCTCTTGGTTGCTCCGTTTGGCTGTCCAATGTATTTTAAGCATTCTTCTGTAAAACCACATCTCTGAGGCCTCAATAAATTGTTTGGCCTGCCTACCGATTGTCCAGGACTCACAACCATGTTAAAACTGGATGTGTGTAGCAAGCAAGAATTCTTTTTCTAACCTTTAATGACAAAGATGTATTGCTTAAGATGTTCTTTATCTTATTAAATGCAGTTTTTGCCTGTCCTATTCTGTTTCTTATCTCAGTAATGCATCTTCCATCTGATGTTATCCATGTGCCCAGATACTTAAATTTCTGTACTTGTCCCAAAATAACAGCATTGACCGTTATTACACATTAAGGAATAATTCTTTTCTTTGATACCACCGTTACTTCTGTCTTTCCATTATTCAAACTGAGATCTTTTCTACCACCATAATGTCTCCATTTCCTGTAGTTCTTTCTGACTTGTTGCTATCACACACACATGCGCTCTCTCTCTCTCTATCTCCCCCTCTCTCTCTCTCTCCGAGGCGGGAGAGCTGGCGAGAGACTGAGTTTCTTTTAGACAGACCGTGATGAGAACGACGTTTTGCAAAGGACCCGCCACATGATGATGATGATGATAAAAGTTTGTTCATTTTAAAAACTCATAATCGACATTTCAGTTTCAAGTTCAAATAAACCGAATCAATTATTCAGAAACAAGTCAATTCAAGTGCAATGTCGGATCTGGATGCTTTATTTTATTCTAACACGAAGAAGGTTTGATAACTGAATTCATGACACAATTCTACATAAGGCACATACAATGAGAAATAACAGTGAACGAACGACATACTGATTTATCGACAGGAAGTAGAGACGCACAGAAGTGAGACAATGGCATCAGCCTATACCTGGCACATATTGTGTACTCATGTACACATTAAATGTTGTGTGTGTGTTTATATGTATATATACACGCATTCAAGTGCTACCAAATGTCATCTGCTGCATAAGAGCAAATGACATGTTGTCAGATTAACTAAGGTCATATAACGTCTCACATTTCTGACATGTAAACAGTTGACATGTTCAGACTGAAATCACATAAATCTGACATCAGATAAATTGAAATAGATTACATATAAAGACAGAGCTGGATTAATTATTAAGCACATCAAGTACGTGTTTAGGGCACCACAAAGGGAGGGGACACGACATACATTTTCATGTCTTAGAGCTGAGTGTTTGTCTCCTCGGTTGAAGTGTATTAAAAAATCCTTTTTCTCCTCAATTGAAGTATATTTTAAAAACTCCAAACAGAAAAACGATGCAACAAGGCAGGCTGGGTGCCTTTCCTTTGTTAAATATAGAACCAGATATGTTGCGTAAGATTAGTTTAAAGATCTGAACAAAGACTTTGCAAAAAAAAAAAAAAGGGGGAAAACTTGTCAATTTATAAATAAAGTAGAAGCATACACAAATGGACGCTATTTTCCATCTTACTATTTAGTTAATACAATATTATTTCATGGTTTACTATTATTTATATTATGAATCACATATATATGGGGAAACCAGTGCCGACTTGACATACGGCCGGTTGGGACATCTACCAGAGGGGTCCCACGCACACAGCAGTCCTATGCTTATCTCTGTGTCATGTGACCTTTGTGCACCAAAGTCGTTAAAGTGTTTAGGACATCAAAGGGCTTAATCCGGCCCTGTATATAGGTTAAAGTGAAACAATAATGTCATCATTGCCAGTAATCAATTGTCATGTCCCCCGTGTGGGTTCCGGGGTCCCATTGTGGGGAAAACAAG